TATGATGACCGTGAATACCGATCGATCGTGTGATAATTAGACCGACGAGAAATAACGCGTAACGGATTTTTCTTTCAGCAACGATATTTTCTAACTAGGAAAATATACAGTAACGTAAAAATGGTCGAATTTCATTTTAATTAAGTTACATATTGGTGAAATTGAATTACAATTTTCGTTGGATTTATCGCAGGATTTTGTCGATTGGGCTGTTAATAAAATGCACGAAAACCATTGTGAGGATAATTTTAAAATTTAGAGACAAATTTGATAAATGAACGGAACTTTCCGTTTTAATCGACCGACTTCGGCACACGATCATATTCTCGATGCATTTACTTCGCGGAAAGTTTCACGGTAGAATCGGGGGCGATTTCTCACGCGGTTTTTTTTTTTACATCACACCGCGTTTTTTACATTGGACCGCGCGCTGTGTGTCGTGACAAAATTTCATCCTTCTCCGACTTACCGTCTTGTCAGGCGATCTAAGTGATTTTAAAGTGGGTGTGATTGCAGACAGCGAACTATGGTTATCTGCTAATCTGCGAAGTACTTTGCATTCACGACGGCCGAGACACATTTGTCACTGCTCGCGCGATTCGGCAGAGTGAAACGACGTATATCGATTTGTTCGACGGCCGTGTCTCTTAGACCATTAGTCACGCTCGCAACAAGCTTCGCGCGCATTCCCGCGATTTCTTCTCGTCGGAAAGCCCTCGAGCCCTCGACGTCGTTAAACGTGATAAATTTAAAGCTTTGACGTACGTTTGAGAATTAATATATACATATATATATATATATATATATCCTTTCCGTTTTATCTCTCCATATCGTACGTATCCTTTCTTGACCGTCGTCTCCTCATATTCAAAAACAGTTGACTCTTCGCAACTTATTTTTTTTTTTTTTAAATATGGTTAACCTTTGCAAGGAAAATTTGCTCGTTGAAACCATTGCGTATCTTAGAATCGACGACAATGATAGGCGAGTTACTAATCTTGATCATAAGTCATTGCGCCAATCTTCACACGCGAAACTCGGCAGTTAATTGCGCTCCGTTTGCACTCCAGAGACTATAACCGTCTGAAAATGTGCGTATCGTGTAATAGCGCGAGGGACAAGTATGCCTCCCGTCGGTGCACGAGACTTTCATTCTTACATGAAATTACCTTTGTTCCCCGGGCGGATTTAAAAACGGAATGGAATTGCACCAGCGTCTCTCTTTACTGCTCGTTCGAACTAGAACGCTGTGAGATGCCGAATTCCGGCTCGGTGTTATAGAATTCTATAAACAAGACACGAGTCCTTAAATCAAACTTGAAAACAGAAATGTTCCCGCTTGCGAGGTAGTTGAGGGAATTTATTGGGAGCATAAAAAGAGAGCGTACTGCACGGCCGGACATTATTTTTACGACACTTGACGAAAGACTATAAAGTTTAATGACTTCGGTCGGCGATTAAACGCGCAAAATCAAACTTCATATTTTTCTTCGAGCGATTGTCTCTCGACGGTAGCGTCGGATTTCCTCCGTCTTCTATCATCCCGCATAGTGATTTTGATTGCTTGTTTATCTCATACAAATGTTACGCCGAGGAAAATTTAGACGAGTGAAAATGTCGTGATTTATATTAATTTCTCCTTTACAAACACTCTATTCTCGTCCTAACATTCCAACAGAAAATCAGATCGTCTCTTGGTAAGCGCAGGTGGATGTCGGTAAGTTAGTATGAGCTGGTAAAACGGTCGTCAAGGAAAGTTCGTATTATCTACCTTATCAGAGAGAGGTTGGTACAATATCCATATTTCTTCCTCAGCACGCGTTATTTTATACACATATATTTTATATTTGTAACGATTTTGTATTTTATATTTTTGCAACGAAACAAAAAAAAACAGATATCATGCACAATAATTTCTGATATTTTCATGAGAATTGTCATGCGTGTACATATTATCTGTAAGAATTTATATGTAATTATGATGAAATTATTAAACATCGCACTTAATCGGATTATATGTACATCGTGAATCAATTCGGACGTGCAAGATCTCGCTTCGATGTTTATTCTCGCAACACCGTTACAGCGCGCATACGTCATCGCACTCGTGAGAAGACAAATTAAAAGTTTGGCTTGCCAGGAAGCCAGAATTAATTCACTGCGATTTATTTAACGATGCTAGATTCATTACAGTCGATTGAACATTTTTATCCCTCACAACGTATATCCAGTAATGAGTATTCCGTGAGGGGGTTTTATAAACTTGCCGGTTCTCGCCGCGGCGTATTTTGTAGCAGGGGAAATATTTGTCATCTTTCATGTTTGCGAAACTACTTGCTGTGCTTTATTAACTGGCTGATGGAAAATTCGTCGTGGGCAACGTGATAAAATGAAAACTCGTCGAGTGAGGGATTTAGTGAGAAAATGATTTGCCTAATGGAAAAGTGATTGTCAACAATTCAATCGAATGAAGGAAAAAGTTTGAATAAAAATCGATTGATGGGACAAACGTCCGCAAGGAAAATAGAACGGGGAAAATAAAGGAGGGTTTACTCAACGGAAAGTTGATCGGAATGAATATTGACCTGGTGGTAATAGAACACGGTTAGGTCGAATTAGGTCAAGTCCGGTTAAATTAAATGAGAAGTCAAGAGTTTTCGATTTTTTTTTTTTTTTTACGGAAATTACCCTTTCGATCTATTTCCCTTCCGATGAATCTTTTATTTGACGAATGCTTTCCTGGTATTTTTCAAGTAATTCGATCAAACGATTTCTCGTAAATTCCTTGCTTCGTCCCATTTCCCTTTACGTTCTACACATCTCCGTTCGTTTCCTTCCGTCACATGAATTTCGCTTAATCGCAAATCAAGCGTATTTTTCACCGGTTAATTTTGCGCGACGAAATTTTATGCGCGCTCACGTAATCCACGATACATTTTAACAAATAGGTGTGGTCTTTTCGTGTTATATCTCACGTAAACCGTGCGTACCGAGACACGTTTTAGATTTCACATTATCACTCAGTGAAGGATTTTGTGTTAAAAACTGAGATTTTCGTGTTACTTTAACACATGAGGAATGTATTGAAATATACGTATAATTAACATATTACTTTTTAATATATTCATCTTTTTATTGAAATAAAATAAAATTTCAGTGGGCCGTTGTTAATACGAGATTTTTCACTGCGTAACGTAAGATGGAGATATACTGCCGCTAGTATAATTCACGGTAGGCGAGTACCGTTCGCGCGACAGTTGCTGTATCGAATCGTTTACCTTTGGGCGTATTCTCTTTGAAGAACGATACAAGTTTCACGGGGTGTCATGCACGACGCGTCTTCGACCGGACATTAAGCGACGTGGGAGGTGATATTTACATATTAACGAGTATCGTGACGCGTCGTATGATACTTGCCGACGTATCGATTAGTAAAGAACGTATCTGTTCTTCCGACTTTGTGTCAATTTATTGATCATTATACACGTAGAACGAAATAAACACTTTTATCTTATATCGCGCGATTATATTATTACGGACGTCGTTTTGCGCTCCATATGAAGTGCTCTCTCTCCTTGATTCGAACAAATTGAACTTAAGATAAATATTTAGATAAATACTTTTATATATATATATATATATATAATACTTTTATATATTATTTAAAAACTTATTGAAAGTAAGGCGCTTTTTTCATTGTTGTTTTGAACGTTACTACTAAGTATATTTCACTTTTGCTTTTCTCTACACATCTACTTTCAATCATAGAAATATATTTTCTTAATATATATTTTCTCACGTATCATGATCACGATATTATATCGTCGGCGGACTGCAAAGTGTTAATTTCCTTGAATGCGTTGTCAGGACTATCAAACATGGTCGCTATGAATTAGTGGGAGGGAAAGCTCGCGCGTAATAGCTCGTGAATTAATCCTTTCGCGTGACTTATGACCTAGATTCTCGCGGAACGCTAAAAGTTGCGGTTTCTTCACTTTTAAAATGAAATTTCCTCGTTGGCAATCAATGCGATTTACTACACATGCACCATATTATATGACACTCTGTGTGAGTGTTGAAGTTTAACACTCACTATTTCGCGTCCTCGATGTCCAGCCTCGACGAAACCGTCCTGAACTGGAACTTCATGGCGTCCGACCTGCGGCGTCCCTTGTTGATTGTACTTCGTTACACTTGGCTGCACTCGCGACGCGATTAATATTTATATGCGGAGAGAGCTTAATGAATATCTTGGGGACGAAAAATACTGTTTTATGTCGAAGCTGTGTTTAAAGGATATTTATCGCGATATAAAAAAGTTTGCGCGTTTCAGGAACATACCTACGCATTCGTTTTATGTCCCTTCGCTCGCATCCCATCATCGCGTAAAAAATCGATAACGAAATTCGCAAGCAAATAATAGAGACGCGAATGTGTATAGAGCAAAAAATGCGTATACGCAAAAAACTGAGAATCAAAAGCGAAATGTATGGACGCGCGCGTACGAAGTGATGAAGAGTAGCGTGAAATTTTCACGCATGATGGCTTCGCAATATTCATGCGAAAATAGCTCCGCATTATTTATGCGGAAGGCAGCTCCGCAATTTTACGCAATATTTTTGCGAAGACTTCCGCAATATCTCGCGAGATTTATTTTCATAATGGTTTCGCTGACGAAAAACTTGCATCACTGGGGAACGAACTTTAAGTGTACAAAACCTGAGTGTACGAAAGTAAACAAGGCGATCGTTGAATCTTCCATACGAACAAAATATAAAACGCTTGTTTTTATTGACGAAGGTAATACACAGAACGCTTAGTCGTACGAATGTCCGTAAGACAAATCTAAAAGACTAATAGCAATCGTAAAATCTCTCAAGTTTAAAACGAAACACGAGTGAAGCCATGCGGCGCAATTCTGATGCGTATGTACTACTTTTAACAATTGAGGGGAAGTAAACGAGTCATGTACAACAGGTGAGGAAACTGCAATATTTGGAGAATCTGTTCAGAGAATCTATTAAAATTTACTAAGCATATTTTTAATACTTTATTGTATAATACTAGTGTTTGTTGAAATTCTAATTTTTTTGCAGCAGTCTATTTTGCTTGACGGCACATATGTAAATATCCGCGTGCAGAAATCTACGGTAAATCGCATTGATTCAAACGGGTTCTACGAATACCACCCGCCACCTTAAATCTTTATTTCCTTCGTCTTTTATTTGCTGTGCCCATTTTTCTCACTCACCGAAATACTGTTCGGGGCCGACCACGTTCCGCTATATCACAATCTGAAACGGAAATAAGTGGAATTTTGTTGATTAGACTTTTAAGGATTCGATTTAACGAACGAAGTGCGCATCGCGAAATATGAACGGATTAACCCTTCGCGGTCGTATTTCGAGTTATTCCGTTGATTATATCTCGTCTTTCGACCTAAAGGGTTAAGAAGAGAAGTATATTGAGTCTTCGAACTCACCTTTTCAAGTCGACCTCCCGGTATAGTATCGGCCGCATCCCCCGACATCGCATCTGCCGTCTAGTCGCAAGATCTGAAATATCAAACAGTTTTTCTAATTAATTACAGCGATAGAGGACTTGTTCGGTCTAGACGTGTGAGAGATATGAAGATTCCGACACTGTATTTCTTTCTAAAATTCAATAAAAGTAAATTGCGATAATCACCCTGTAAACTTTCCGACTTTACCCCTGCTCATAATAATCCCAGTGCGACGATCGCGACGCGAGTGCCGTGGATTAATTAATTAATAACACTGACTCTTGATGTATTAATTTGGCGGAATTTAACAAAATTAATTAATTCGACAATACTGAAAGAAATCGGACAATGTCGTGTCTTTGTATATTCTTTCATTGACTGTTGCAATTACGAGCTGTGTGTCGCGCTCTCCCCCTTCCACGACTCTCCACAGAGAACGCACACAATCATAACATTGTTTGACGTGAAAAAGTGAACACGTGAGATCACGTCGCTCGCTACTTTCGATTTTATTATGTTCATTTCAATAAATCGACCCATTAAGAGTCATCGTAACGATCATTTACGACACCCGCGTCGCTGGGATTCTCGTGAACAGAGGCAGTAGACTTGACGTCTGAAAGGTGATTGTCACATTTAATTATTGTTACATTTCTGAAGAGGAATTACAGTCAAAATCATCGTTCGTGTTCTTAATTCATCTTGACCGAATAAACCATCGTTCCATCGTTGTAACTAATTGAAAAAACCATTTTTTGCTTCAGATCCGGCAGAGCTTACGATCATATTGCTGATGAAGTGAAGCATATGATTACGGCCAAAGAGAATTCTCTCTTTGATGGTGGGTTCACAGACTCGCTATACATTCCTTCTCTTTGCGATCGAAAACCGGGATTGACTCGAAATACGAGAAATTAATCAATCCGTACTTCTGTGCGCATTTATTTGTTAAACGATATCCTTATAAATTTAACTAACAAAATTAATTTTCTTCCCGTTCGTTAGATTTCTCTTTATATATGATATATATTTAATTTCGCTCCATGAATAACAAGAGAGAGAAAGAGAATGTGTGCAAATATAAATGTTATACGAGCGCGTGTTAGATATTACAAAATTTATTATTATTTAATAGTTATTATTATATTGTTAATTATGTAACAGTTATTACGGTGTTTCTTGTAAATTTTCGTAGTATTTGTATTTAATCGTATTTTAATTGTACCCGCGGGTATACAGGATATACGAGAAGCTTTATCGGATTGAATGATTAAGGCTTCTTTCTTCTTAGGTGCTATGACCGTCATTCTATCTTTATTGCCAAAGAAAGATAGGATGACGCTTGAACGCCCAAAAAGAATGCAGCCTGTTAATATTATAAGTGGCGTACAATATTGATAATAACTTGCGTAACTCGCGTTAAATAAATTAATACATCGTGTTATAGCTCGCCGAAGTAGGACCCGGTGCGCTAGAGGTCAGGCGTTCTTCCTGACAACAGATACGACTTAGCTGTAAACATGATAGCGTTTGTCGCGGAAATAAGCGGATCAGACGTCAATTGTTTAAATTAATCCAAGTGATTCTAAGATGACATATAGTAGACTGCGCGTGCGATTACCGGCGTGAGCATCAATTGCATCTTGCAACTCAAAGGCTAACTACCGTATTTTATTATATGATTTAAAAGATAGATATGCGCGATGAAATATACTTGTGATCCTTGATGTCCGATTCATCGAAATCGAGCAATCTATGTTGATATTATTTATCAGGAAAACCAATTTTTGTTTCAGATCTGGTAGAGCTTGCGGCCACATCGCGAAGGCAGCTGCTGTTTCAGTGAATGCGGCGGTACCGGAGGATCCGGTTCGGGCCCAGCAAGGTCGGCTCGAAGGTAGGTTTTACATACTCCCTTTCGCCCTTTCGCGCGGTCGAAAGATGAGATACACTGGCTAGAATTACGATTTCAAAGAGCTACCACACTCGAACCATTCGTGTTAAGTAGAGAAATCTGTAACTTTAATCGGCAACATATTTTTTGGTTTTCTAGATCCAGCGGGATGTGGCCGGCCTTGTAAGAAAGCGGTATTTCGGTGAGTGAGGAAAATGAATTCAAAAATGTAAAGTAATGAGTTTTCAGATTTTAGTTGACAAGTCCTTTTCCGAAATTTCGTTAAAATCAGTGCGATCATTTTATTAATACTTGCATGATATTTTTCAACTTAACGTTGAACATTAACGTAAAAACGTCGAACGAAACAGTGGTATATATTTTTTCTCGCATTGAGAGAGAGAGAGAGAGAGAAGTTATAAAATTCTAGCAAATATTCGATGTATAAAATTTATGATTAAAATACCAGTGAAACCCTTGTTGTGATTTGAAATTTCTATCAAAATCGCAACACCAGAGAACAAGAGTAGCTGATATCTAAACAGCCGTATAAAGTACGTCACGACTTTCATTCGCGCGGTTAAATTTTTATAAACGTCTTGTAAATGTAACATTTGCTTATCGCATGTACCAAAATACCGATTTTTTTTCTAATATTTTAACATGTGCAACTTGTTGATTTTATACCACTGTTTCGTTGAATTTTCTATGATTGTTCGAATATAGTCGAATAAAATTCGACTTTTGAACTTCGCAAAATATATTGCGGAGATATTATGCGTCAGAATAGTGCCATCACTCGTGGAACTCGCGGTAATTTCGCTCGCGTTAATTAGAGTTTGCAATCGAGCATTTTCTTATCTGCAAGCGTATAAATTTCACGATAGTCGCGATTACTCGCATATATATATTATTAATTTCGTTATCGCCGCAGTTCCTGATATTTTACACTTATGTTCGCGTTATATACACATTTACGTTACGTCGTTTATACTTCAAAGATATATGTAACTTTCACGGTTGTCGCGATTATTCTCCTCGCGTGCGCTTTAATGAATTTTGCGCGATTATATTTTGCTCGCGTGTATGCATCGATAAATTCCGCAATCACATACATACGTACAGCGCGATATTTAATTTTCCAGACTTTCGTTCCGTCTCGTGCGCGATCTGCTAAAAAGTACTGCAACTGCTAAGTGTTACAAAGAGGTAAAATATTAAATAATAAAAGAAATAAAGCATTAAATGTATAAATCTTTCGAGATATACGAAGTAAGGGAAAATGTTTAGAAATACATTTACAGCAGTGTTTTAAAAATATCTATTAAAATGCGAATATCGTATCACGAGTGAAATAAAGCGGAGGAAAATCGACGTGGAAATGACGCGAGGCTGGGTGTTACGTCACTTCCTGATGCGAGGTGGTTTGACTCGTAGGCTGCTGCGGGTTTCGTCGGTGGACCACGCGTCGCTAGATTTCAACGTTCGTTTCATGGTGAATTTCAACACCACAATGTCATTAATGCATGCCTAGTAACAAATCGCACTGATTTTTCGGACAATTGAACACACACGAATTGAAATTTGTTTTCTTTTTATCGAAATTGCAACACTAGAGAAGAAAAATAGTATACATCACGACTTTGATTCATGAAGCAAAGTTTTCATGACCGTTCTAATATTATAATTGTAATATTTGTTTATAGCACATTTCAATTTTTCGACACAGCTATTCTTCGAACATCTTAACGTTTGAAGTTGACAGTTGCACACTGCTATTTTTCTATTGTTTTCCGCGCGCACCGGAAAGAGACAATAACTATGTTAATTTAGTTCGCGGGTAGTTGAATGTTTCTCGGTGTTGTTTCCATAAATTTGTTTCTACGTTGTCCACTGGCATAATTTTCCACGAATATTGAGTCAAGTCATAAATGAGGTTCTCCTCTTTTTTGTGAAATAGATCCTTATAAATAACCTTAGGAGTAGAACTTGTTCCGCCCAATATATTATTACTACTATTACGGTCAGTCATAAGAAAGTTGCAATATTTGTTTTTTTTTAATGAATTTTGGAACATACCATGTCCAATGGGAAAATTTATTTTTTAGTAATTTTCAGGACATTTATTTTCCAGTTGGATACGAAATATTTTGCGAAATTTATCGAAAGAAATGTTGCAACTTTTTTGCGATTGAAATCATACGTCACTTGAATCTTCCCTGTGCTACGTTTATCCTTTATTTATTTATCAAAAGCGCGCTTTACAAGCCATTTTGAAACAATGAGTGTTACTTTTGGTTTCGATAAATTTTTTATCAATTTCTTTTCGGGGATATATTTAATTGGTATTAAATACAATTTGTCTACAAAAATTGACATATATACGCGTGATATAATTTAACAGCAGCAATTGACATCAGGATCCGAAAGATATTTCGATATATATATATATATATAATCATGCAAGAAATCATAAATTTAACGAAATCCGACAAGATTGTAGGAAATATATGCGGTAATTATTGATCGGTAACAATGAATCTACACGGGCAGCGATAATCTATTCAACGGCGGCGTAATTCGCGATCATCGCGAGCGTTTTTCATCCCGGATGTTCATTTCATACCGCGAGACTACTCTTTCGCAATTTTGCGCCGGTAAAGCAATTTTCATCGGGTTTCTAAACTCTGGTTAATTGATCGGATTAATCGCGCAGATGAATTTTTCGAAACGAATCGCTCCCGTCGTACCTGAATTTCCAACCGTCTGCTCGAACCGCGTCATCGCCGGGTTCATCAGCAACCCGGACGCCAGTTGCAGTCCATGAGAGATTAGCTGCACGAGGGTCGTTATTACGACAATAACGTATCCCCAGCCACCTTCCGGGTAGTAATGCCTCTTGAGCGTGATTTTCTTCCGAGCGTTTATCGCGGTCAGGGACTCCTCCTCGGCCAGATCGTCGAATTCCCCGACGCTACCCAGGCCACCCTCGAGAATTAGTTGCTCAGAGAATCGCCTCCTCATCATCTTCGGCGTGATCGTTAAGGCGCTGCTCTTCCGACGACGAGCGTTCGCATTCTTGCCGTCTTTGGCGGGCCGCGCATCGCCACCCCTCGGCGCGGTGTTGGCGTCCCGGTGAAACGTCGCGCAAGGGGACCCTCGCGGATAGGTCCGGGCGATGATTGGTTCCGCGGCACTCGCGGCGCCGGCGATAACATCTCCGGCGAGCACGGAGAGTCGATTATCTACCCGGCCGATCTGCGTTTGATCCGAGTATCGGCGATGCTGGATCACCGGAGCGGCGGCGGCGGCGGCCGCGATCGAATGCCGGCGCTGAATCGCCCCATTGTCGACGTCGACGTGGCAGAGACTGCCGGCCGAGTTTCCGTCGCAGAACGACGGCAGGAAGCTCTGGCAGGTGGACGCGGAATAACCCGAGTCTTTCCGCCTCGCGGCGAAAAGGCAGGAGGACGCGGAGGAGATCTTCCGGCGACACGAGAATTGCGGGATGAAGCAGCGACACCGCATCACGCGCGATAGGATCTCCGGGTGCGCCAACAGCAACTCCGGGATCTCGATCTCGCTCCATGACTTCGCGCTATCGCCGGAAGATCCCTTCGTCAGTTCCCGCTTCGAAACTAGACTCTCGATCGACCAGCTTTCGGATTCCACGCTGGATACTTTCCGCGCCACGCGTTGCCCGCAGCAGCTCGTCCGCGTTGCACCGTCACGACGAGGGTGGGATTCCCCTTCCTCGAGCGAATTCTCGTCGCTCATAGCCGCGCTGTAAGAGGGACGACGCTTGCGATAAGCGGCTTCGCGCGAGTCAGCTCGTTCGTCCATTTCGCGGCTCGTTTCTCATGAAACGGAATTTTTTACGACGGCGAAAGAAAAAAAAAAGAAAACGATGTTCGTGTGACCGACACGCGCTGTTGCACCACTTATCGCGTCGTCCGAACGGGAAACTTATCGGGTGCACTTAAATTCCGCAAGGTAATGTCTGTCGTTTATCTTCCGCCCCGTTCGAGGGAAGCGCTTCCTCGGTTTTTAACAATGCAATACTTGGAAGTCCTCGTTGTTTGATCGTATTTTCGCGCGAGAATGTGTCAAGAATTGAATCAAGTGTTATTTCGTTGCAGCACCGGCGGACTTCTCGCACGAACTGCCGTCCGTCGGTATAAAATTCAGCGATTCCTCACAGGTGCATCGCGATGCTCCACACGCATGAACGCCGAACGTGAGTGTGCTACGCGTCCTGGTTATCGATTCATTGGCCTGATTTTTCTGGCACGTACATTTTACGTCATCAGTATTGTTCTTTCGTACGCATTAATGCGAAAGGACGGGTTCGCCTTAGAATGAACGATAGATGTTGAAAGTTACCTCCGTGTAGACGGTTTACTAGATAAATCTCGTTTTACTTTTAAATTTACGCGCTTTTCAGCGTTGCGGCTCGACGGGAACTATGAATTTAGCTTGATTACAGATCTACATCCTTTCCTGATCGTAGTTAATTTCTCGCGTAACTCCGCCGCTAAAAACAAACTTTTCGATTATTCCTTCGAAGGGATATGTGCTGATAGTAAAAAAAAAATCGCATTCTGAGCACGACAAAGCAAACAAATTGCGCCCCGATTCGTAAGAACTCGCTCTGTGGGAGAGACGCGGAAAGAAAATCAGTGCACGTCGGAAGTGCGAAGTTTAAAATAACTTTGGGCTCGATTCCGCCGAAAGTTACCAAGTTTCTTTAAAGATGATAGGCATCATTTCCTCTTTGACGTAAGTTAATGACGGACTTCTCCTTCGGGCAGTATTTTCACGATTGTCACTTACAAAGCTTGATCGATTTTCGCCTATTTCATAATATGGGATAATATTTTATTAAACGTTACAATCTCAATTGATCAAATTCGTAAAGTTCTTATTGAGAGATTACAGAGAGAATAGGTGACGAATGACAGAATTTGAAGAACGCACGTTGATTAAAATTCTAGATTTTTCAGTCATCTTCTTTCTTGGTCCCTTCAGATATCGCGAACACATAATTTATGACATGACTAGATTCAAGAAACCGGTTGAATATATGTATAGTGACACCAAACGTGATCAAAATAGCATCCGTAAGAAGACATATCCAGGTCGCAGAATTGCGACGCCGTCTTCTTCGCGATTTATCTTCTATATTGATAAAAGTATTTTCCGAGGAAACACGCGGCAAAAATAATATTATTTCTTCGAGAAAACACACGGCGGAAGTAATATTATTTTAAGTAAAAGTAATCTCTCGCGGTAAAAAATATGGGCTACACGGTGGTATGTTCGAAAAATCGGCATCCGATTCGTCTTTTTTTTGGAGCTTGCTTCTCTGGTTGGCAGAGAAATTTTAGCAAATTAGAATTTCCACGATATCGCACAATTTGTAATTAGCAATTAACACGCCCAACGATACGGTCACCGACGATCCGGTGCTATTGACGCGATATTGTACACGTGCGGCTAATAGGAGTGTAAATTAAATCGGCGCTCGCACGTATGATTTGTTTATCGTGTTATTGCGCTCGTGATTTTTACGTCAGAGATCGACAAACCGATCATGTGATATTCACCGTATTATTAAGAGTTTTATCGACTCTTAGTACGTCCGACATCTTGTTACGGAAAATAACGTTTTGCATCCGTGTGAATCTCTACAAGTTTCTTTTGTACTTTCTATATTATTAAAAGATGCTTATACAGTAATAAATAAATAATAGAATAGAGAAGATCACGGGGGTTAGAAAGCATACGCATGGATTACCGAATTTCGTTAGAATCAAGTTATCTAATTATATTATGAAGTTATGTTCATAGATATCAAGTTTTTCGATAGATTTTCGTTGTTTTCTCGGTTGCTGTGGCTCGAAAACAGGTAGAAGTAAAACTGCACTTTAAGTACGTGATATCATTAACAAAAAAAGAACATTGATTTAAAGATAATCTAGATTTTGTTTCCCTTATATGAAAAATTATGAAGTCAATTAACCTGAAGCACGGGGTCAGTTGTTCACGATATTGCTTTGAGCTTAATAACTTTTTTGTGCATATATAAGGCTACCATTATTTGTTTTTAAAGCTAAAGGTTGCATAAAAATGTATGTACGATGTTGTTATATATACGATATTATTTTTACCTCAATTCGAACGTAAAGAAGATGACTTCCGGTCTCCTCTGCTCGACGATTTCTTACCTGCGCTGTGCAGCGGGGGATGTAGGAACTGGAGTTCGGCGGTGCTATGCCAGGTTCCGGGCGCGGCGAGCTGCAGACCTACCCCGAGAAAATGCACCAGCATTGAGCACGTGACAATGACATATCCCCAGCCGCCCTCAGGATAATAATGTCGCTTGAGGGTAGCCTCCTTCCTGAGATCCGCCAATCGCTCCGTCGGCTTTTTACCGTCCTCGTTTCTCGCCGCGCTGATTAGACGCTCCTCGTACCAGGTGTCCTTGCCTTGACGTTCGGCGCGAGACTTTTTGCGGCCGTACGAATCGTCGCGTCTACGCGCGCCGTCGTTCTTCTTGCCTTGCGAAGGGGAACGAAATGGGTCCACCAGTGAGCGCAGGTCGTCCTCGGACGTGCACTTGGAGCAGGCGTGATGCCTCCTCGGCAGGACGAAGGATGTCACGTAGTCGTCGTAGTCGACTATCTCGATCTGCGGCGGCGACGCGTTGTGACGCCTCGCTTCTCGCGAATTACCGTTTATTTGTACGATACGCGGCCTTTGATCCGCGACGTTTACCACAACATCAAAGGCCTCCGATCTGCGGTCTTCGTCTCGCTCGGGGACGACGTCCATTCTCCGTGCTTCGGACGCTCTCTTGGCGCACCGCGGCGCCACGAGGATGTCCGACTTGCACCTGATCTGATCGCGAAAGGCATTCGGCGCGTCGTTCATTCGGTGAATCACGTTGGTCGAGGAGAGGCTGCGCGACATGAAATAACGGTTCCCCGGGTGGCTCTTTTCGTCCACGAGCGCCGGCCCGTCGTCGACTAATCTCCGTTTCATCTTTACGATCTCTCCGCATCGATCCAGCGGGACGACTTCTTCCGGACGATTGGATCGCGGCGCGGTCTCTTCCGATCGATACAGCGTTTCGCGGCTCGTAGGGATGATAGTGAAGGCGCGAGATAGAGGATCGACGCGCACCCTCACCGTCCGGTGCATCCGATCGGGCCAAGAACTGCTGTGCCTCATCCCGTCGACGCGTCTCTCGATCGTCATGCTGGATCTACGAACGAGCGTGTTCCGACGGACGGGCGAACGGGCGAGTTCCGACGATCCGACGTTTTTCCAACGCGAGGTTTTGCCTCGGCGCAAAAATAACCATGGGCACCATGGTCGTCGACGGCAGGACCCGTGGAGAATGCTCGATTTGCGAGCGAGTCGCGGTGCGGTATACGCGCGGAGCACATTTTTCGCGGTAACCATGCATGTTTTATAGGCGCGAGGACGAGGGGGGGTTTACGACGTTCACTATATTTCCACTCGTATACACTCGACATTCACCAAAGTGAATCCGTGCGACGGTGAAATTGAATTCCCTCCTTGAGTTCCCTCGTCATCGTGAATAATACTACTTTAAATAAATTTGAAGTAAATTCAAACAAATTAAGTTACCTTCGATCAAATATGATCGACTCGTAATTAAAACGACCGGTGTCGGGGGAAAAACTAACATGTTACAGGCGGTTGGTGTTTATCACGCGTGATAACAATCGGCGATATCCGATAACTTGGATTCGAGGAACGAGCGGTCCTGGCGAATGCGCCAGGATGACTGCTACGCACGTGCTGCTTACTTGCGATCAACCCTCTCTCTGTGTTCTCTCTCTTTCTCTCTCGCTCCCTCTCACTTCGGCGGATGGCAGGCGCATGCTTGCAGATATCTGACGAAACGCGAAAGCTGCGCTTTTTGTAGCGCAACGCCTGTGTCGTCGCGTGCTGCTGGTTCGTGATACACTTCCTGCAAAAGCAGATTTAGGTCCCGAGATCAAGTTTAGACGGTGTCTATAATTTTGCTTCAAGCTTATGTTTAAACGAGGATTTACGACGCTTGACTGATCATACGTCTTACCGCGAGGAGTCGCGCGCAAAAATTCACCCCGTCGGAGGCTTCTCATCGAAACAGCATGCATCGCGCACGTGAGAACGTTCCAATTTATCTCGCGACGGGGAACAACGGAGAAATTCCAGCTCGGGGCGGTCCCCGCGTTATCGTATTTACCCTCATCGTGTACCCGACCTACCTTTACTATGCTTGCGATCAACAATCCCAGGGAGGCGTAGAGTGAGATACGACTCGGAGGTGGGGGATGAGGATCTCCCAAGATGCGACCTGGATTTCGGGCGTGGAAAAAAGAAGAGTGTCGTAAAAAATGCGCTCACCCGCGGCGATTATCCGCGGCGAGCGACGTCATCGTCGGCACGTTCATTTTCGACGATACAGCTCTTGTGTTTCTCCTTCGTGAGTAACGGCCGGAGCGTAAGTTAGCGATCTGGTGGCGCGAGAGGATATTGCCGGTGGGAGGACAGGTGCGCACGAGACATTATTACCGATGATATATACGCGAATTCCACGCGTTGATGACGCGGGGAGAAGGTGAAGTTTCCGTCGTCGCGACACCAAGGGAGAAGATGCGTCGATAAATTTAGGCGGGCGAGCGAGCGATGAGATCTCCCCCCCCCCTCCCCTCCCCTCCCTTCGCCTCTTAAAGTCCGCGTGATTTATCGCCGCATTAATTCGGGATCGGGTCTTAGCGCCGCGTCGTGCGGCGAAGTAAATGACGCCGGTGCGAATTTTATCACGTGTTGTCAGACGAACGGGTTTCCGCGGATACTTTGTTAAACTGGAGCACGAGGCTCCGGTCGTGTCGCAAAAATATTCCGCGATCGAATTAACGCGCGCACAAGCGAGCGAGGCTCTCAATGGGGCCCCTCAGGCGTGACTTAGCGAGATTACCTCGTCAGCCCGGTGAAAAAGTTGTAACTCCAACGCCGCGGATATAAATCAGTAAAGGGATACGCACGCTAACGTACGCGAGGCTGAAGGATATAATGAGATTTACGTTTCGGATGGGCTCGAAATTTTTATTCCCGAAATTGCGTCTGCCGCCGCGTTAACTCATTTATATCCAATGTACCGCTTTCGCAATGCGTTGCACGCCGATCTGAAATCTGCATGACGCAATTAAGTCTAACTATGAAATGTCCGGTGACTACTTGTATGACTGGATTGTGAATACTTATTTGAGAATACTGAGAGTCATGAGAGACCAACGTCATGTTTTTAATAATATAAGTTTATTTCGTTACACGAACGTTGAGTAATCTCGATTACACTTTTCATGACTTACTGCTTCATATATTTTTTTCTTCTTCTGTAAAAGATGGGGGAAAGATAACGATAAAGTTACCGAAATTATTAACATGTATGTAGCTATCTCGGACCTTTCGTTAGACCGAAGGCCGTGCGTTAAGGCCAAATCACACTAGCGACTGACGATTATAAGATAATCCTACCTGAGTCTAAATTTTAGTTCCGCATTGAGTCTTCAAGTGAAGAAAACTTTCCCATTTGTGACGCCAAAGGAGCACAAATGGAAGACCTTGGAACATTTAATATAGAACTAAATTAAACTAAGACTAAAATTTCAGGTGTCGTCTAAGTGGCACCGAAGTGAAAATTTTAGTCCCACATCAAGTCTAGTTTATTGCAGTGCAAAAAATGGCAGCTTGTTTCCGTCTTAATGTAGAATTGAAAATTTCGACTCGGCTAAACGCTTTGTTCTGATCGGCTGGAAAATAATTTCCAATCGTCAGTCGCAATTCAATCGCTAGTGTGATCTGGCCTTTATATCAGGCCGATTTATTCGGATCGATTGCGAGTGCGACGAGGCTTATCTCGAACCGGGTGAAAAATTAAGAGCAAGTCTTGCACGATGTAATTGTAAGTTCGCGTAGGCAGTTGTGGTGGTCGAGCGAGATCCATGATACGTTATCAGCGGGATCTGTCTTGCTTGTACGATATATTATTACACGGAACTGGAGCAATCTTGACGTACTTCTCCTGGCGTTTCCTGGCAACCTGTCGCAACCTTAAACGTCCGCGCAATAACGTCGACAGATCAGTCCCGGAAAACTTGCATGTAAGTTCGCGAGTTTGGTTACTCCATTCCCAAGTTGTAGCGCAGGCGTTTGAAGAGTCGACACCTCGAGGACTCTTCGGAACGCCGTGAATGCACGCGAATAATTCCAACATTCCGTAAACTTACTTATCTCTTATTCACTCTCTCCTCCTTCTCCCACTTGGCGAAATGGCATTCCACTTTTATCTTAGTGTCCCATGTAACAAGTTTCAGAGAATGCGGATGCTTCCTTACGATCTATTAAACCTAGTTACGAGCTTGATCGCGCCGCGCTGGATACGTAAAACTTATCTAAAGGAATCGTGGCTTTGTTTGCTTCCGTCAGGATTTATTTTTCATTTCAAGCGCTGGCCCGCCTCTATGATTTTATCGACGAAAAATACGCGCGGCCCACCACCGAGCGATTCTAATCAGTCGATCTCTCCCCCCCCCCCCCNCCCCCCTGTTTAAAGGTTGACCCGAGGTCTTAGTGTGCTAATGGATGACCACCGAACCGCCACTTTAGCGAGATTGAAACTGTCGTTCGCACGTACCGAGCATGATGGATGCGGCGCTTTATAAAGTCGTTCGCTCCTCGTACGTACTCGTTAACTCAAGAGAGAGACTCTTACCTTTCCTGTGCTTTCCCTTCGCGTAAATAGCGCGTTCGTCTTTCATTTGATAAACGTGTCAGACGTTGTCAAGGCGGCCGGCCGTTTGGAAGCACTTTGCGCGCGCTTGAAAAGCCATCAGCCTTGCTCGTATCGTTTTAGACGCTTTCCAATTATCATGCTCGGCCATACAATCTCAATCTTGCGGGGCCGTCGTCTTTGTCATTTTAAGTGTTTTCCGCCTCGATAATTTCGTCGCTTTCGTTGTTTTATATGCAATTACCCGGTCCGGCCGCGCAATAATCCGTTACGCTCGAAAACCGTCGCCATTGTCGCTCCACAATGAAGACGCTCTCGCGATTGATCTCCTTTCGCAGGCAACGGAAAGAAATCGCGAGCACTTGGTTTTAATAATTATCTTTCCTTTCTTCACACCGGATTGCCATATGAGATTAAACGTTACGATTACAAGAGATTCATCCAACCGAGATGTGGCATGCTAGGAAACTTAGTTTCAAAGTGATGTTGGGAAAGGTTTTCCAATTATTGTGACCGGCGATTTGAACTGTATCGCCAAAGTTGGAGGTACACGTTGAAGCGATAGTAATTATTTCAACGTGTATCTCCAACTTACAGCTTCCGACACACACACACACACACACACACACACAGTTCCGCTGGTATCGCGGAGAATCGAGGGACTTTTCGGGATGAATGACGTATTTTTCGAGGGAGGCATGATTTTATTATTATTTACAACATCACTGTAATCTATGGCAAGGCGTCGAGATCGGCCAGGGCGATCTTCATTCTCGTCTTGAGCTCGTCCGCATAGCGCAAAGCGGACTCGTCGATCCTGACATCCTCCATCAGGAGATCGCAGTCGAGATGTCTGCTGTCGCACGCCCGGTGGTGGTGCTTGAGTACGTCGTTCGAGTCCAGATGATGAGCCCGTCTAGTGGACGGGTTCAACGTGGTCAGGGCATAATGATTGTGCACCGTTAGCGCGCGCCTCGTGGAGACGAAGCTCTTCACCGAGTCGCCCTCGGGCGAGATACTGGCCGTTCGCATGGTGTCCAGGTAATCCGGGTCGGCCGAACGACCTGAGGACCGCTCGAGCTGATCGGTCTTGTTCTGCAGCTCGGGGAAGAAGTAAGCATTGCGCACGGAGTACGAGGCGAAGTCCTTGAAGCTCCTGCCGAGCTTGGCGCGTTCGTCGAGCAGCAGCTCGTGCCAGGTTTTCCTCCGCGTCGGTACGATTGCCTCGTCGATGTCGATCGGCACTACGAACTCCGATCGGTGGAGGTTCTCGTAGAAACAATGGTTATAGGGTATCAGTTCCATCCGTCTCTTCGTCCAGATATCCTCGCGGAAGAATCGTCTCCTGGCGGTCTTCTCGTTCGGCAGGTCGCCCGGTAGATCAAGGGCGTACCATCGCACCACGTTCGACCGCTCGTACAAACGCAGCACCTTCAGCACGTTTTCGTGCACGTTGAACACGTAGAAGTGGAACAGCTTGGCGCCCAGAATACGGTGCAGCTCGACGAAGGCGATTAGCCTACGCGATATGTCCTCGTCGAAGTCCAGGCCCTTGATGCACAGGGTGAACCGCCTCTTCCGGCCGGACGGCTGCTCCTCGCCGAATTCGGAGCGGGTTGTTAAACTATGACTAGCATTCGCGTAGCAGGCGGTCGGACCTACGTAAACCCGTGAGGGCTGCGAGCGTATCGAGCCGTCCAGAGGCAGCTGGCAGTTGACGAGCGCTCCGGTGTAACTGTCCGCCGTGCCGCCCCATTCGTCCAACCAGATCGTCGAGACGAGCGCCTCCACGCTCACGGATCGCTCCCGGTACCTGAAACGAGATCGCGACGCTTAATCCCCGCCGATAAAGCTTTTAATGCCTAACTTCCGTGTTAAAAGCAACCATTCTCCCAAGCAACCGCCGGAAAACACCCGTCGTGTCCTACGTTGTAAACTCGTGTTATTATATTGTTGTCGCTAAAACCGGAGGTATTGTTGCATTATTAGAGAAATGTCTCTCATAATTACGTTATTTTAACGCGTACCTCATTTTGGTGATACCGTATTTAGCATTTTTGTGACGCATGGTTGACAGTGTAATTCGCGTGGGTCAATTTTACCTTCGAATCAAGGTGGGAACCGACAGATAACATTATTCTATCGGCGACAGATTCGTATCTGTCGTTTTTAATTATAGAGAAATTGTTCCACATATACTGGGTGTCCCAACATCAACGTAGGTCTTCCCCGGGACGTTCTAAGGCGAAAATGTCGAGGGAAGACCTTACAGCGACTTTTCAACACACCTTTGTAACTGAAGTAAACTTCTGTAAAAGTGTTCGTTTGATCGAAGAAAACAGTTTTGTTGATCACTTGAAGATTAGAAAACCCCGCTTTTTCGGAAACTTGATTGATATTTTCGTACTTGAATTTTCAAGAATTTTGAACGACTCGAAGAATGGTTGAGGTCATCTTATCCCGTTAAGACAATTTCCGACGTCAAGACGCACGATGATCTTTCGAACGAGAAATCTTCGTTATTAACAAGCGATCTAATACAGAATGATGAACACATTATCGGATATTTAAGTCGTCGTCGTAGTTTGTTAGAGGCGACACTTTCAGAAACGATAATTCCTCTCCCACTGAGGGGTTTAGGGCGAAATGAAAAATCGCTCACCATATAGTGCAGAAGAGCGCAGAGGGCGGCAGGGTTCCTCGTTTAACGCCAATCACTCTGATGCTCGGGTAACCGGCGACTCTGAGGTCCAAGTGGGCGCTGTATAGGAAGAGCTGTCCCGGGATTGTCTCGAGCCACTTCGTGCCGGGCGGCTTGTGCGCGTTTAACGCCATTTCGCGCGTTCCATTACCGTCGCACTGCTTGGTGGGCCTGTAATCGAGTGCCAATCTTCGTGCCCACGAATAAGCGACGATGCTCCTTGTGCCCGGCGGCTCGCCACCTAGAAGCGCAAAGAGCGACGCTGAGAAGTATCGGCCGCTAAGGCGACCACTGGAGTTAATTGAGGGGGCTCGCGGGAGGAAGAGAATAATGCCAACTCACGTTTTTGCTCGGGAGTAATGCCTCGGTGCGCGCGATATTGTAGTAGTAGAATCGTAACTACCCGTCGCTTTGAAAATGCAATTACCGAGGCGTCTAACTTTCCTCACCTATCAGGATTGAAAGAAGCGCCACTTTTTAATCACGCGATCTCATTAAGTTTTCTATTATGCTCCCTTTGATACTGCAAATAGTAGATTATTTGCGTTTTTTCGGGTCAACGCGTCTCGAAAAATCGCGGTAGGATCGTGAGAACGCGTTTCCTTCACGGCGCGACAGTCTTCGTTTCCAGCATTTTTCGATACGCTCACGCGATCACGCAATGATCATTCGTATCGTTATTCATGCGAGTCATTCTACACGAGAGAGTTAACGAGTTTAGGTTGACTGTGTTTTCTTGCAGACTGCGTAGGCTTGCGCTCGCCTTTCGATACATTAACTTTGTCTCGCAGCCAATCGATACTTTTGCGCCGTCTTGCGCGGGTGTTACGCTGAGTTCATCTTGATAAACATCGACTTATTGTTTGTGCGCCAATCGATCTTACGGACGGAAGTGAATACATTCACGTACATTCGGTTACAATTGAAAACGTCGCTTATCCCAGCGATAGTCACTCGTAATTGCGATTTCCATGTAATCCCCGATCAGCGTTTCAGTAATATTCAAAAGGCAGGGAATTAGCCGGCCGGTCGCTAATTGGGCTACCCAATGTTGACTGCCGTTCCGTCTATCCCGCGGGGAAAACTCGTTCTCCGCGCAATCACCAAGTTCCGAAGCTTTTTTCCTTCTCGCGCATTAATTTTCGCCTCCAATAAATGTATTTGCGGAATAAGCGTACGATCGCCGTCGGCGATAATAAATCCACACCGTTGATAGGAGACTCGTCTCATTCATAATTATTTCGATGACGGAGATAAGAGGGGAGAAAACAAAGTCGGGGAAATTTATAGCATAGCTACATACGACCGTCACTTTGCAATTACTCGCGTATATGGATCGCGAACGTTATTGACGGGCGGGACGCTATTTCGCAGACGATCGATGTCGACGGAGGGAGAACGTCGGTAACGAGACTGGACGATACCTGGCGCGCGATCCCGGATTTTGCGGCGGGATGGATGATGAACCGTCGTGGTGTGTCGTTAAAAGTCGGCATTTGACCCAACGAGGGCCGACGGCGGTATTACGTGTTTGCGTGCCGCGAGTATTCTTCGTGACTCCGTGCCCTTTACCTGCCGTCTTCCCCTCGGCCGTCGCGGCCACGCTTCGCGAGGTTTACGAGAAGGTAAACGCGGAGAGAAGGAGGCATTCGTACCATGCTAGAAATACGCGCGGCGTTCTCATGGAAATCGCAATGACCGGGTCTAGTTGACTGCTGCGCGCGACCAAGTTGACCGGTAAATCGTGCCGATTATTTTTAACGGGCCGCCGCTAATTAGTCGAGAACTCCCTCTGGTTCTTATCTTCGACCGATTCAAGAGGACGAGATCTTGCTTAATCGACTGCGGGGGATTTCTGCGTGAGGGAAACCTGTTTTTCGCGATAATTAACGCCGAAAATATGATCATTCGCCAAATTGACGGGACTCTACGAATTTCGAAAGCGGGCAGTCGATCGGGCTGTCATAATCCCCGCGAAATGTTTGCACGGAGGAAGCGAAGGTGAATTACGCGAAAGCGTACGAGTCGACGGGCGGTCACTCGATGAATCACGTCATAAATTACGTCGACTAATGAAGTCGCTACTAGCAAAGAACAGCGCCGAGATTTACGTTCTTGGCGAGCTTTATGCCAAAGCTTCGCGGTTTATTTATAACTGCGTTCCTTTTGCGCGTCTCTCGTTGTGCGTTATCTTTTTAGTTTCTCGGCACGGAACGTGCAGCACCGTTGAATTTTCTGCGATGCGTACAAAGGGAGTTGCTGGGCGATCGGTATCGGCCGTTGGGTGATTCATTTATGTATTCTCTCTGTTGGCATCAGAAAAAGCGCATCGTACGCGCAATTATGCGGGATGAACGTGCGTTTAAAGAAGCAAGAGTCTTGATTTCCCGCAGGGAAACATTTTAATGCTGAGAAATAGTGCGTACCGGGTAACAAATCGCTCGCAGGTACCACGAACAAGCACATCGCGTGCGAATCTCCCTTTATCGCGGCGAGAAAGTATTTCTGCTTACGCGCCAATTAGTGTTGCACGCCTACGTCAGCCCGACTGTTACTTTCTTTCGACTCTTCTTTGCTCCCGTCACGCACTTCGTTATTGTTGCGCGCGCAGGCAGCAAACAGGAATTTCTCGTTTTACATGACATGAGTTCCATAGTGGTCTCGGCAAAAGCCGTGGAGTCACGTCGTCGTAAAAAGGATTTCGCGCATATATAAATCCGGCTGAATTGGATTAAATGCAAAACCCAGCTCGAAGTGAAATCTCGCGTTTGTAATTTGTTGCGTTTTGAAGCTGAGGTTCATGGCAAGCTAGTGAGAGCAACGAGAGTTATCGATCGTGAACAATGAACATGTTGCCAATGATTATAAATCTCTGCTATTAATTAGATTCAGTTTGAGAAGGAAGACTGTCTACGTAGAAAGAAAAATGGCGATCAATTTTATTTATTCTTATTACTTATATACGTTTGATATTTTATACTAATTTGTTTTCCATGCAGACAGCATTGCGCTCTACACGGCAGAAACAATTCTCTCGGTGGAATTTTCCGTTGGCTGGGGGGAATCGGAGGAAAATTCGGTTGCACAGTCGGCAAAGTTGCGACACTTTTCTTCGATTAATTTCGCACTTGAAAATAAATTCTCTCACCGGCCATCGAGAGCGTTGGCAAAGAAGCGTCGCAACTTTTATCACGCCGACTTTGAGAAGATGGAGGTTTCTACTCGGTCGAAGTAGCGGCAAATTTCTCGTCACCGAGTTTTCATCCCTATCCTTTTTCGCGTCGGAGGATTCAATCGCGCCGCGGTGGCAGGAAGAATGCGCGCGCGTTACCGCCTTCAGCAGTTCCCCGATAACGAAAGGGCAAGGGTCGCGGAGGAGGAAAATTGCTTACCAGGCGTGGGAGGAAGATCGGTCGGAGGATCCGGGAGTCGCGGCGGCGAGTCCAGCAGAGTGAGGACGCAAAGCGCGGTGACCAAGAGCGCGGCCAGTCCCACTCTGCATAATCTCCTGGTCCCCGGCATGCTTGTTCTCTCCTCTCCGCGCTTTTTACTGTCCCCTTTTTCTCCTTTTCCCCGCACCTCGTCCGTCAACGCACTACTATGCGCGAGGCTTCCCCGCTTCGCCGCATGTCAGACGTTGACAGGCGCGACTCTACACTTCACTCCGATTCTCCACGCGCTTTCCCAGCCGGTGCTCGCGGGTCGCGTTCCCATTTCGTCTTCTTTGTCTCTCTCGTCGCACATGAATTCACTGCCGGTGAATCTCGTTTACTCGCCGCTAATGAACCAGTTGCAATTATCCGAGCTGGCTACACTGGCGCACACCGTCCGTCCGCGAAATCGCTCTACCGCTGCCGTCGGAGAAGTAAAAAGCGCGACCTCCCACGCGACGACGACGCTCCCGCTCGAAGCCTTCTCGTAGGCAGAGGACGACCATGTATGGTCGTCCAACGGAGACTGCTCTCTCCGTGCCTCTCCGGACTTTCGATAATTCAATTATTCCGTGCCGTTCCGGCCGATCGACGAGGCGGTTTTTCAGGCGACCGGTTCTCCCTTTTTTCGCCGCGCGACTCGTCGGAGCGCGACAATTTAAAGGACCCTCTCGGTTACCGCGCACTTTTGCGGGCCTCCTCACGTGCTGCCACGCACGACCGTCTCGAATTCATTTTCGCCTCGTCCCGTCGATTTCACGCGCCGGCACCGAAAGTGGAACGCCCCGGCCGGGATGAATGACGGCGGCCCACCTCTCCTCCTCATCGTTTAATCGTCGCGTCTCGTCTCAGGCGTGAGAAAGGAATTAAATTCGTCCGCCGGCGTCACGGTGTAATGCGCGAAAGAGAGATCGGAATCTCTCGTGCGAATTAATTTGCGACGTCCGAGCGGGTTGAAAACACGCCCGAAACGTCGCTCGACAACACTCGCTGATGTTTCACTCGATTTCACCTCGTAATCATCGCGGAAACGACAGTCCGTGAGACGTTCCGAGAGTCGTTCGGTGTAGACGAGGCACGTGCGCGTCTCTCTCTCTCTCTCTCGTGCTGGGATGCACGTGGTCGGCGGATCGACCGACGGGATTGGTGCAACCTGGCCTGCGCGAGAGTCGAGAGCGTACTGCGTACGAGCGGGAGGTTAACGCGCCACCGGGGCCTCGCCGTGGCGACTTTGGACCCGTTGCTTTAGCATGCCTCGCCAGTGCGCGCCTTACCCCGTCCCTACTCGCTTTACCTTGCCTCGCCTAGCTCTTCTTCACTTGCTTTGACTGCTTGCCTTTTAGCTCAGCTTCATCCCGCTCTCCGGTTGGTTGCTCGCTCGCTCGCTCGGTTGTTCGTCCCGGCAACGTTAGTTGAGTTTACCTTGTCGCAACCTTGTGAATCGCGTCGCGTTTCACTGTGCCTTCTTCCTCGTTTTTCGTTTTGTCGCTTCTGTATGCGGTGCATCCTTCATTCCCCGTGGTTCTTCATCCCGGACAATCGTCGACGTTTGAAACTCGTTGAACTCTTTCACCGGTGAAAATCATTTCTCATTTGTAGCATCAAAGGTAGCATGAAATTTCGGGATATCTTTCAAACAGACCTCGCGACGATCATGATACAGCACATTTCTTTACACGTCTCTTCTTCGTCACTTTGTCGTTTTTATGTCTCTTTCAAGCACCGTCGAGAATCCTGGCGAGAAATATAAAAGATTTGCGGTCTCTAGAAGTCACGTCCCGGAGAAGATTAATCCACTTCCCACGATAATATTCCTAGTTTTTACGTTCAGTTCCGTCGAACCACGGTATTGTTTAACTTTACAACGATGCCGGTTTATTGTAAATTCGCCACGAGCTTTTATTAGCTACATATGTTTTCCAGGAGTATATACTCAGCCATCGCAACGTCGTTCGATCCTCCGGGAGTCGTACCTCCGGCTGCAATAAAACGCCTCTTCCCCCTTTCTCGGGCCTTACAGGCGACTTTATCTCGTCTTATCTCCACACATTGCCTGACCTTTCCTCGCAACCCGCTATTTTCGCGCGTATACCCTCTCTTTCTCCCCTTCTTTCCCTTTTATCTCGAGCAAACGCGAGCTACTTGCTCGTGTCAAAGTCAATCGAATGGGCTACATTGAAATCGACTTTCTCGCGGAAATTAAACGCGGTTAAACGCAGTTATACGAATTTATTACGATTCCCCTCCCGATGAAGGCTAATACGGCGATATGTATTGAGAGGAGTTCGGGTGAGTCGAGCGCTCTCGACGAATCTGCACGATACCGTCGATCGACGAGAAGGAAGGTGGCGAATAAGGGGCACGGGGCTACCGGCTGGAAGAAGTACGCGCAATGATACAAACAGCAATCGTTCCAAACTTATTATCGCCGGTAAGAAACTCATAAATGCTTATGACTTGCTCGCCGCTTTTTGCAGCGGCGTTCGAACGATCCAGTTAAAGCGACGTTTCGCCCGGATTGACTCGGCAAACCAGCCGGAGATAGACTCGCGTGAAGAAGCCGGGGAGAGGACCGATCCGCGGTAAAGAGAGAGAGAGGGACAAAGAAGAGGTGGAGGAGCCTGGGGAGTCCCTTCAACGTCATTTGTAATACCGGATGGCCTAATGATGCGACTGGTCGTGACAGGACGGGAATAAGAGTGAGAGAGGAAAAGAGATTCACCTCCCCCTACGCGAGAAAGGGGGTATATAGAGCGGGCGGGATATACGTGTCTCGGTCACTCGGTTGTTAAGGACGCGCAGAAAGCCTCGGGACGTATTCCAACCGCCGTCGTGATTTGCTTCGCCGTGATTGTAGATCACGGCAAAGATCTACCACTACGCATTCAGTCGTCACCACCGCCGGGTGATATGTACGAAATTAATCTCCCACCGGCGGAGGAGACGCGCAAAAAGAGCTTTCGACGATTTTTCGCCGAACGTTATTTCAGCGGGCGCATTTCAAGATTTGTTTCTCCGCCGTGCGTATGTGTTGTTCGATGAGGTTGGAAAATTTATTGCTTTCGGTGTGTGTAGAGGGAGGCGTAAGAAAGGCTAACTTTACGCTCTTGTGTCGGTGTGTATAATGCGCGCATAAGAGTATAATCATCCAGCTCACCTGCTGCTAAATGTTCGATTCACTGGATTTCCGCGCGAATGGGCTTCGCGATAAGAAGATGAATAAGAAATTCGCGTCACGCCATGATTCACTTTAGCACTTAAGAAATAATGATATAAGCATACTGTCGGATTGCTAAGGTAAACAGTGATTTACGAATGGCGCGGAATATAAAACGCTTCATATCGCGTATTTAACGCACGGGTTAAATCGCACGAGAAATTCGTTGAAAATTAGATCACTTATTTCACATCGAAATTGACGATATTGAATTTCAGAAAACAAAAATAAGGAGAAATTTTACCTTCCAACGCGTTTAATCGGATATTAATAACAGCCTGTAATCAATTTGGCCGGACGCGCAAGAATCCATCGCGAATTTGTCAAAGAAGCTGCTCTTGTATTTACGTCCGTATGTGAAAGAAGCGCTTCATAAGGCCGAAGATAATTATATACTTGATGTCGCGCGTTAACATTATCGCGTTTCTTCGCCCGACGTTGCGCCAATTTAAAAGAGACGCATATGTTTGTTGTACCGTAAAGTCGCGCGGCGCAAAAACGCACGACTCGTGCACTCGGAGCGACGTATGCACGCGATGATTCCTTCGTCGCGAATCATGACGATCTTCGACGCTTTTCTTCCCTATAGCACTTGGAAGCACGGCGGCGTGTAGCTAATGATGCAGAACGTGCAGCAGTGTTTTCTTGTGGCCAACTAAGTAGCGGGATTTAAAAAATCGACGACTCGCCGTAAGTTACGTCGGCATGGGTCGTCCCCCGACGTTAAGAAGTCCACGTAGACGCGCCATAAATTATAAGCCGCGAATGATTTAAACGAAACTCCGGTTTGTTAGCTTTATTTAACGCAACGGGTGTCGCGGAATTATCCGTCGAGCACTGATTTATTATTCGTCCGGTAACGACGCGGCTACATGAGATCGGAGGATGAATCGTATTGAAATTGGCGATTTTTGCCGAGAGATACACCTATATTCTAAGGCGCAACGAATATCTTGTTAAAACGTCCGCTAAGATACCGTGTGAGCAAGAGTTTCGTTCGCATTTCTTACGTACGGAAAACCAAATTTGGTTGAACGAGAGCCGTTTTATAACTCAAATTTCTTTCGTTCACTGTCTCGACTCAACTTTCCGTGCGAAATGTTACCAAATCAACGATATTATCTCGGATAAATCGTATAAGCACTTCGAGATCATAGTGTATAATTCATTCCGGATAGGGACTCTCGTTTAGACTCGCCGTGCGGGGCGCACACAGTGTTTACTTCTGTTCCGGTCAGTCGGGAAGGTGGCCATCGTAGCCGGGGCGATCGAACAGCCGCGATACGATCGTGACTCGGGTCTTCTTTTCTTACTCAACCGGCCGCCGCGACGCGATCGGGAATTGGGCCGACAATGAAACCGCTTCGGGCTCGAACGCTACGGTTAGCGAGATTAATCAGCGGCGCACTTAGATTTATCTCGGACCAACGGCGAGGCACCGTCGATTAGCGATGATGTTCGTGCAGCACACTCTGTAAGCCCGCGTCCGAGTAAATAATCTTTTATCGCCCGTCCTTAGTTTTCCTATTAAAAGTTCCACAAGAAAGTAATTATAACAACAGAAGACGCATCTCCAGTGGAAATTGTGTAGCCAGTAATGCAACGCTCACTTCTTGCTAATGGTCGGATAACGAAAGAAACATTTGAGACATTTATTATTCGAGAAATCAAACTTCTGCTTTTGTTCGTTGAATCGTTCGTTTATTGAATCTTATTAAATCCGACGAAATGCCTCCTTCGTCCAGATGGAAAATCATTTTTCAGCGCCGGGATACTCTCGATCGGGCGAACAATGAGGGACATTTCCACGGCGCGACGGCGTCGTAAGTAGGCGTTACCGCGCGCGAGGAATCTCTTTCCGACGTCGGGTTCCAGTGCTAATTAAGTAGTTGAGGGTCGAGTAGAATACCGGCAATTACCCGGGATTATATCCCGATAATCCCACGGACGCTTCCTGCTTCGCCGCCGGAACGCAAAACGGTTTGTACGTGACACGACTTACACCTCGCGAATTACGAGCGACGCTCGCGACGCCGTGCCGTTATGCCTCGCCAAGGGGCTTCCAATCGGCGGATTTATGCATCGGTAATTACTTTCCTATCCGGAGAGAGCTAATGGGTATAGGCAAAGCCGTGGTAGTATCGATCGTTTCCTAGTTGCGGCGGCTACTCACTGCCGATCTTCTTCTTCCTACGTTAGTTGCTGCGACCGCCCATCGCGAGCGTCTATCCACATCGTGTCCGATAAAATGGCCGGTGCACCTGATAATCTCCACCGCGATTAATCGACGGAGATGCGTTTTTCCGAAAGAACGCTCCCCGCCACTTTGATGAGCTCGGGATTTCATCGGTTATTACCGCCGTTGCTTTTTACACGCCCGGCTGGAAAACCGCCCGAGAGAGAAAAACGAACTGCTATTCTCCCGAAAAAGTATCTTACGCGATATAATCCTCACTTCGCACGTACACAACTAAATTAACACTCTGCTTTTAGCAAGAAACAGGGCAGAAAGGTTATATCCAACTTGTCGCAAAGAAAAGTTACCGAGAAGCGATTCCAACGCGAAAACCAAGGGCAGCCAATTAAATATCATTTCCCGCTCGATCTTTCCAGTAGGACTAATATTTCAGTTGAAACGTGGATTTCTTACAAGCCGGGATCAGGCTCTGCGATTCCACGTCACTCGAAGACATTTCTCCTCGCGCGAGTATTCCGCGATTGCACTTCGCCTCGGGCGCTCTCCCTCGAGAGGAACAATAATAATCTTTATATTCCTATCTCCTTTTCCCGCACGAGAGAAAGAGAGGCGAAACTGCTGCCGGCTTCTCCATAAAGCGGTATCTGAAATTTCGCGCGAGACCGCAATAACCTCCTCAGATTCTCCGTATAATATACGATACCTTCCGATTTATATCTCTTCTTCGGTAATACCCTCTTAAATTTTT